CTGACTCCCTGTGTGACACACTGTCTCTGACTCCCTGTGTGACACACTGTCTCTCTCTCTCTGACTCCCTGTGTGACACACTGTCTCTATGTCTGTGTCTGTCTGTCTCTCTCTCTCTGACTCCCTGTGTGACACACTGTCTCTCTCTCTCTCTCTCTGACTCCCTGTGTGACACACTGTCTCTCTCTCTGTGTCTGTCTGTCTTTCTCTGACTCCCTGTGTGACATACTGTCTCTCTCTCTGTGTCTGTCTGTCTTTCTCTGACTCCCTGTGTGACACACTGTCTCTCTCTCTCTGACTCCCTGTGTGACACACTGTCTCTATGTCTGTGTCTCTCTCTGTCTCTCTCTCTGACTCCCTGTGTGACACACTGTCTCTCTCTCTGTGTCTGTCTGTCTTTCTCTGACTCCCTGTGTGACACACTGTCTCTGACTCCCTGTGTGACACACTGTCTCTCTCTCTCTGACTCCCTGTGTGACACACTGTCTCTATGTCTGTGTCTGTCTGTCTCTCTCTCTCTGACTCCCTGTGTGACACACTGTCTCTATCTCTGTGTCTGTCTGTCTCTCTCTCTCTCTGACTCCCTGTGTGACACACTGTCTCTATCTCCGTGTCTGTCTGTCTGTCTCTCGCTCTATCTGTATACCTGTCGCTGACCGTCTCTCTCTCTCTCTGACCATCGCTGTCTCTGTCTCTCTCAGCACAGGGTGGTTGTTCCAAAGGCTGGAAAACTCTGGGATCTTTACATCGCCCTTTCCAAGCTCTCTGGGATCGCTCCGGATAAGGTAGGTCGGCTGGAGTGACAGGCCACACTCTGTTAATTTAGAGACTCGGGTAAGACCTGGGTTCGAATCCCGCCAGGGCAGATGGTGGAATTTGGATTCAGTAAAATATCTGGAATTAAGAATCTAATGACGACCGTGAATCCATTGACGATTGTGGAAAAACCTATCCGGTTCACTAATGTCCTTTAGGGAAGGAAACAGCCATCCTTACCTGGTCTGGCCTACATGTGACTCCAGGCCCACACCAATGTGGTTGACTCTTAACTGCCCTCTGGGCACTTAGGGATGGGCAATAAATGCTGCCTGGCCAGTGACGCCCTCATCCCGTTAATGTGTAAACAAAAAAAAAACCCTCCCGAGGTTTCACTCGCTTGGCCCCTCTTTCCCCCAAAGCAAGCAAACCTCACACTGACAGAACGTACAGCGTGTTCCCTTCTCCCTCACACAGCCTCCTCAGTTTCAAGCTTTCCCTGCAGCGTCAGAGGCTGAGCGGGTGACCTTTTAGAGGTTTATAAAACCATGAGGGGCATGGATAGGGTGAATAGCCAAGGTCTTTCCCCCCTGGGGCAGGGGGAGTCCAGAACTAGAGGGGCGTAGGTTTAAGGGGAGAGGGGGAAAGGGACCCGAGGGGCAACTTTTTCACGCAGAGGGTGGTGCGTGTGTGGAACGAGGAAGTGGGTGGGGGCTGGTACACTGACAGCATTTAAAAAGCATCTGGATGGGGATGTGGGTTTAGAGGGATAGGGGGCCAAATGCTGGCAAACGGGACTAGGATTAATTTAGCGTATCTGGGTCAGCAGACGGGTTGAGCCGAAGGGTCTGTTTCCGAGCTGTATTCGGGGAAGCTTATCCAGACCCTTTCCCCATCCCAGCCGTTACTAGTTCAGCAGGAGAAGAGCCCAGTGTTACTGACCCCGTTGTCCTACAGGAGCTATTTCAGGGGGACACAGAGGGTGACGTGGGGCCGTGCGAGAAGGTGGTTGGGCAGGGGTGGGGGGTGGTTTGCTGCAGTTTCTGAGCCCTGTTTACTCTCTCTCCCCACCCCCCCCTCCCACTCTCCCTCAGTTAGTGGCCGCTGACGTTTTCAACCATCGGTTTTACAAACTGTTCCAGACCGACGACCTGCTCAGCACCATTCTCGATCGGGATGATATATTTGTGTGAGTATGTCAGCACTGTCTCTCTCTCTCTCTCTCTCTCCCTGCCCCCCACCGTCTCGTGCTGTCTCCCCCCACCTTCTCTCTCTCTTATCCTCTCTTTCTCTACGCCCTGTCTCTCCGTCTCCATCACTGTGTCTGTCTGTCTCTCTCTCTTTCTCTGTGTCTCTGTCTCTCTCTTACCCTGCCCACCCCCCATCTCTGACTCTGTTTCCATCACTGTGTCTCTCTCTCACACACCCCCCCGTCTCTCTCTCTCTCTCTCCCCCTCCCTCTCTCACACACCCCTCCGTCCCTCTCGCAGCTTGCCTGCCAGTTCCTTTCCCCACGATCACCCTCTCGCAGGCAGCCAGAGGGAGGCGATGGCAAGCCTTTGCCCAGCAGGTGTGAGCGAGTGGCATTGTTCTCACTGACTGCCCCCAGATGATTGGCATTAACCTCTGACCCTTTTTGCCTCCCCCTCCCACTCCATCGCCCGGCAGCTTTGAGGTGACCAACAACATGGAGGATGAGCAGGAGAATGATGCCGTGGTACTGCCCGTGTATTTCCGCGAAAAGGTGGGCTACAGGGGCTACAGCACATCCACCTACATGTTCGGGCACCCCCTGCTCGTGTCTGTGCCCCGGGCCCAGCTCAACTGGGAGGCTCTGTACGAGATCCTCCTGCAACGGCTCAGGTACGTCACAGCAGGGGGTCAGCGCTGAGGGAGTGGGCGCTGTGGGAGGGCAAGGGAGCAGGGGGCTGTGCGGGAGTGAGGGAATGGGGGAGCTGTGTGGGGTTGAGAGAGCGGGGTGCTGTGGGAGGGTGAGGGAGTGGCCGCTGTCGGAGGGTCAGCGCCAAGGGGAGCGGGCGTTGTCGGAGGGTCAGTGCTGAGGGAACGTTCGCTGTCGGAGGGTCAGGGCCGAGGGAACGTTCGCTGTCGGAGGGTCAGTGCTGAGGGGAGCGGGCGCTGTCGGAGGGTCAGCGCTGAGGGAACGTTCGCTGTCGGAGGGTCAGTGCCGAGGGGAGCGGGCGCTGTCGGAGGGT